AAGTTAGGTGAGAAAGGATCACAGAAACATGTCATTGGACTACACACTTAAGTTTAACATCAGCAAACTGTTAACTATTTCCCATCTAAAAGATACTATTGATGCAAAATAGCCAAGATTTTCTTTGCCTGACACAGGTAATTTCATCAGCAGAAGAAAAAGTCTGAATGGCCTGGCTATTAAATGTTTTATTGGAATTCACTATTTATAATACTCAGGCAGCAGAAATTTGAAGCAAAACATTAACTACAATATGAAGTCAACTTCACTAGTTCAGCCAGTATTGACATCAAATACTATTTTTCCCAAACTGTATATCCAACAAAAGTATTTAGAAAGAAATACATTAGTGAGCTTGAGTTAATAGAAACCAATCTTCACAATATTTTATATAATTAACAAACCAGAACAATAGTGGCAAATAAACACATTCTCTAAGTCTAATTAATACCCCCTTTGGTTCAAGTACCTGTTTAGTAAACATGCTTTTTTTTTTTTTTTTTTTTTCGGACATCGAGTTTCATTTTTGTTGCCCAGGCTGGAGTGCAGTGGTATGATCTTGACTCACTGCAACCTCCACCACTTGGCTCAAGCAATTTTCATGCCTCAGCCTCCTGAGTATCTGGGATTACAGGCACGCACCACCATGCCTGGCTAATTTTTTGTGTGTTTTTAGTAGAGATGGAATTTTGCCATGTTGTCCAGGCTGATCTCTCAGAACTTCTGGGCTCCAGCAATCTGCCCACCTTGGCTCCCAAGGTGCTGGGATTACAGGTGTGAGCCACTGTGCTCAGTCTATTTAGTAAAACTCTATAAAATAGTGGTTCCCAAACTTTTGGTATACTGGAATCACAGAATTTTTAATACCTGAGACATTCTGACTTGACTGGTACAGACTATAGCTGGGGCATCAGAAGTTCTTAAAGCTCTCCAAATGGTTCTAATGTGCAGCAAAGTTTGGGAATCACTGCTTTGTAGCATTCATTCTAACTCTGGCTACATATTGGAACTATCTGGTACCTTTAAAAGCATATAGGGTGCCTGGACTTCATCACAGAAGGAATTAAATCAGAATTCTGAGAGTGTGTCTGGGCATGGTGTGTTTTTGTTTCTCCCAAGTGATGCTAATATGCAGCCAGGGGTTAGAATTACTATTATAGAATATTGCCAGGACAATCCTTATCTCCTCCTGAAGGGCATAAAAGGCTTGGTTTCCAAACTATTGCAAAAGCTGGCATGACCTCAGTTTTACTTTTAGCAGGGTTGTGAGAGATAGGGTTATCATTCACCTTAATTGGTTCAGATCCTGCCTGAAAAATGCCCAGGCATGTTCCAGTCCACACGAGACTGATTCCAAAGGCTCTCACTGACAGCCCCCAGAACTATTCTAAGTTATGACAATAAACACCTATTTATTGAGTTCTCATTATTGGGCGGTATTTTATATACAACATTTTATTTGCTCCTTCCAGAAACTGTATGAAAAAGTATACATATCAAAATCCTACTGATGAAAAGGTAGAACTCAAAGATATTAAATGACTCGCCTGCCTAAGGTCACACAATTAGTGACAGAGAATCTAGATTTCAGGCTTGTTTTGTTCAACTTCAAAGTCCATGCTCTTATTTGATGAACACATTATATTATCCACCGTTGTATCTAGACTGGGACACAACCACAATCTGAAAACTGAATTCTAATTTAATAAAGATGCCCTCTGCCGGGAAATATAAGGAATGGCTATAGAAATGAAGAAGAGAGTCTCTACCATGAAGGAGCCTATAATATTAAATGATCACTCCTTTTGGTCTATTCAGTAAATCTGAGGAAAAGAATAACATCTAATTTCATTCATTCATGTAGCAAATACCAATAATAACTTTTGCAATTTCAGAGAACAATATGATATTTTGGAAGGCGTTTGGGACACCTTGGATAGTTTATAAGAGGTGATATAAACTCATCCATTTCAAAAGTCGCTTGTCAATGAGTGGCGAATAGCTTTCAACTGAGGCCAGGATACTCAAACTGCAAATGAGGCTTTAGATGCAAAAAGTTAGTCTATGCCAAGTGGTTTAGTGGAAGGATCCTATGTTTTATATAAGAAAACATAATCATATGTGGTCTGAACCATTTATGGCTTGGGAAATTCACTTTAAGGTTCAGAGCCTCTGTTTCCTCACCAGTCAGTGCCTGTGAGGGTAAAAGGAGACACATGTGACTGTGCCTGGTCTATTTCATGACCTATTAGAAGACTGCAAGGCCAGGAAGTATGTACCTGCAGAAGAAATCTCAAATTGTGACTCACAGTTGAGATGGAACTGAATTATGATTAAGAATGTAGGTAAATGTTTCATTTTGTTTTAAAGACGAAAACTAAACCCAGGAAGCTTGAGTCATCTGGAGATGAAGCAGCTGCAGCAGAGCAGTCTTGGTAATGGAGAAGAGCATGTTACTGCTGAGAAAGGCAGGGAGGCAGGCCTAAGCAAGGAACCTTGGAGAAGCCTCTGGAGAATGCCTGGCCAGGGCTGAACGCTCAGAAATGGAAGGGAAAGCTCAGGAGATTATCACTGAGTCAGTAAGTACAAGTACATGGCAGTATGGCTTAAGCAAACCAAAATGATCTTATTTCTTCTGTGATCTGAAGATGGGAGAATCTATAGGTGCAGGGCAAGGCAGTTTTACAAATAGAATAATTTTGGCCTGAGAAAGGAAAAAAAAAAAAAGCATTTTAAGGATGGAAGCAGATGCACAGTCATGGACCAGCTGACTGGTTGGTAAAACCTAAAAGGCAGATTAAAATTTAGTTTAATAAATTAAACTCAAGGGGAGAACAGAAACCACATACCTGTAACAGCACTATAATATTGTTAGTCTGTTATTTTAGGGTAAAGCCAAAAAAAACTAAGGACAACAACAACAACAAATACATTTCATTTTGTTCAGACGAGAAGAACATGGAAGGGATGCCTCTGCTTAAGATAAATCAATGACTAAACAAAACTAATTCCTTTTTTTGTCTTCTCTATTATGTAAAGGCAAACCATTAAATGTAAGGGATAAAATAAACTTTCAAAGAGTTAACTGAAAAGATAGGTGAAGAAACTTGTAAGAAAATATGTCCTACCTGTCTAAAGCTTAACTTCTTCTTGCCTAGTAAATTTCCATCTCAGCAAGGAGGGTTTACCAGTAAGGACTCTCAGCTAGAATCAGCATAGAGGGAGATGAACACTAAAAAACCGGAGGTGGACAAATGGAGTTCCAGTTCTTGCCTTAGTCTGAAACCAAGGCAAGAAACTTTTCACAGATACTGAGCAAAATAACCTATTATTAGAATGACATCTGGGTACTTGAAAAGGCAGGCACAAATTTGCAAACATGAACCAGAATTCACTAAGTAGTCATTTCCTTTTTTTGACAATATTACAGTACAGCAAAGATATCCAATAGACAAAGCTCCTGTGCTGTCTGTTTGGGGCTGCATCTAGGAGTAAGGGGCCACTTTTTTTTAATCCTTCAGCTAAGGTGACAGTAGGGGTACCCTTTTCTAATTCCTACAAAAGTGCCATGCACCCATGTACACCAGCTGCTACCCTAGGACAACAGACAAAAACAGGACAAGGTAACATGTGGGTCCTCAATTGATAAGAATTTCATCAGTAGCATTTAAATCCAGTGTCAGCTGGCAGAGGAAGGTACCTGAGAATGAGAACTTAAATGATGACATGGCATACAGACTGGATTTACAGAGGTCATGAAATTGAGTTATATCAATGATACCCAACATGTCAACAAGCTAAATGGCCTAATTTAACACAATAAAATTCAGTAGAATCACAGGTTAAGTGCTGAACACTGCATTGAGTGTAGCTGTCTAGTTCAGTGATTCTCCAATTTAACTTTTAACATTTTAAGATTTTATTTAGTAGATTGTAATATAGGAGTCAACTGGGTAATATTGCTGCCATAAAAGCTCCAAGGATATACTTAGGGAAATACAGTAATTACAAAGCCATTAAACATCTTTCTACTTTGTCACTTGGGTGAAACCTTAAATTCAATTCTTAGAATCAGGGTTTGAGAGAGCTGTTGGCAAAGTAAATCTCCTACTGAAGGCTTTCCTAATGGATGAAGAAAAGCTGATGAATTTAATATGTACTCAGGTAAATTGAAGTATTCTCCTGTGGAATCAAGACTAGGTGTATTCTGTAGATCCAGACAGCAGAACAGCAGATCCGTTGAGACTTACTGCAATGGGGAGGCCCTTTGCATGACGTGAATGTCATCCAGAGGCCAATTCACAGGTCGCTCAAAAGTAAAACTGTGGAGGATGTGGGGGTAAAGGGGAGCAAATGGCAGTGAGTACTGCCTCCTTTGAAGAATTCTCAATCCTGATTGCACTTTGTGATCATATGGGACAGATTTTAAAATGCAGATGCTGATGCTTAGACCCTAACCCCAGAGATTTTGATTTGTTGATCTGTGTGGGGGTCCCCATTGGAAAGAATTTATTATAGCTCCCCTGCTGATTCTAAAATTCTAGGTTGGAGAATCACTGAACTAGATATTTGATGAGAGATTATAAGTAAATTAAACCAGATGTTTTTTTCTAAAGTCTCTTTCAAATTTGAGAAGATAAACGGAAATTAACACTTATGGATTACATAGTACAGCTAGGCACTTTCACAATTTATTCTCTCTAGTACTTGAATTCGTATATGTAAATCCCTTAGCACAGTGACCATCTGGTATGGTATAGTAAACTCTCAAAAAACATTAGCTATTTTCATTGTATCCTCTCTACAATTTTTCAACCAACGTATTATTTTTACACTATAGACGAGGAAACTGAGGCTCTAATGTTAGTTTTCCAAGGCTCACAGTAGTAAAAGCAAAGTTTGGATTTGAACAAAACTTAGTTCCAATTTCCAGATCCCTCTTGTCTCATCCACAGGCCTTCCCTAAAGCATCAAGAAGTTCATGCAAATTAGTGGTTTACCTGAGCGACATTTTAAAAATTTAATAGTCCCACTTCCTCTTGACTTGTTTGTAAGGAGTTCCTCTTAAATGCAATTTCTGAAAGAGAAGCATAAACTGAGACATCCACCTTTTTTTATAATATGGCCAAATAGAAGTGAGAACCTCTGAGGACTGGGGAATCGGATGGAGGTACCCTTCAGAACTCAAAGCACTAGGAAGCACAAATGGAGAAAAGCACTGCTCCCAGTAAAATATCTCCCATTCTAATGGATGGGTAAGTAGCCTACAAATCTTTCACTTCTGTACAATCTAGGTCTGGTAGGTTAATTACATGTACACACGGAGGCGGGGAATTATACCTGAGGTGATGGCCCTGATCATACCTGACATCTCCTTGGGGCCTGGTTAGACCTGGCTGAGTGTGTCTGTACACAGTGGCTGACATCTGGAGAACAGGAGGACACTTTTCCAAGAGGCTGTGACTACCAAGGTTGCAAATGCTCCACCTGCACTGCATGAGGAAAGGGATCTCTCTCTCTCTGTCACACACACACACCCCACCTCGTGAGATACATTTCCTCTTGTTAGCTACCTACATTAAATGCTTTGCTCCTGACCTTCTGATTAAAATCTGTTCAGTTTGCAGGGTTCGATGCGGTTGGATTTAGTGTATTTTGTTGGTACAGTAAAGAACAGAACTTCTGTATAGGTGACCCCCCCCCCCAAGTACTACCCTCTCCCACTAACTTCTCTTTGAGAGGAGAGTAAAACCGAATTCTGGAGAAAATAGGCAGTAACTATTCGGGAGGAGGCGGACGGGAGTGGGTACCAGCCCCGGTAGTAAGATTCTTAACGTTCTCCTCGCTTTCCTCTCCCAGAGTTGTGCGGAAGCATCAGCTCCTCCCCCTGGGCCTCTAAAAGTTACCTTTCCTTTGGGTAAGATTCTCGAACCCGAAGCGTTTGACTCCTAAGAAACTAGAACAAGTTACAGCCAAAGAGGCCTGGCGGGCAGCGGTGAGGGTGGAGATGGGGCCGGGTGGCGGGGAAGGCCGGGCGTAGCTGCGAGCGGCGAGTCCCGGGAGAGGAGGAGCGGGAGAAAGCGGGGCGGGCCTGCGGTCGGGGTTCGACCGGGGGAGGGGATCCCCGTTTCCCCCTCCTCATCCTCGCCTCCTCGGGCTCTGGTGACGTTGCGGTTTCCTCCCCTCTCCAGCGGAGCCTCAGCGCCCGCCGCGTCCCTCCCTCCGCCCCTTTCGCCCACACCTACCCGCCCGCGCCAGCCCCGCTCTCAGTAGCGCCGCCGGAGGCTGCAGCAGCGTATCCCGGGGCGCGGCGCCCACCAGCACCCATGGCGCGGCAGGCGCGCGGACGGCTCGGCTCGGAGGGGGCCGGGAGCCTGGGCGCCCTGGAGTGAGGGGGTTCGGGAGCGGACTCTGGAGGCTGCAGAAGCGACGCGGAAGAGGACTGAGCCTCGGCGGGGAGCGGTAAGCGGAGGGGCGCGCAAGGGGCGAGCTGGGGTGCGCGGCGCAACTTTCTTCTGGAGTTTCGGGCGGGGAGCCCGCCGGGCTGGCGCGGCGCGGGCGGGAGACGGACAGCCACGTCCCCGGTTGAGAGCGGAGCGCCGCGGGCTGAGCGCCCGGGCCCGGCTCGGCTGGGCTCGGAGAGAGCGCCTGACGCGTGAAGGCAGAGCCGCGGGCTTCCCAGGCGGCTGAGCAGCCTCCGGGGGCGGCTTTTCGCCCCTCCCCACCCCCTTGAACGCCGAGCACCGAGCCGGGAACACGCTGAGAGCCTGGAGATCGCATTCCGTGAGTCGGATCTGGCCGGCCCAGCCGCGATTTCCTCGACAGCCCACGGGGCCTCGGCTTCAGTCTAGCGGGTTGGGCGGCACAGCATCGCGTCCTCCTTTCCCTCCGTACCTCAGCCATTTGGGGGCTAGGGAGGCGGCGGCGGCGTGTGTGCCGATCCTGGCGCTGGCAGCGGTACTTTGCGGCTGCGGAAGCAGAGGAAGAGCGTCCCAAGCCTCTCCCAGACGCTGGATTCCAGCGCTTCTTGGCTCCGCCGGCGCTCGGAGAAATTGTTAGTAAACCTCATCCCGAGGCAGCCCCGGGAGGGGAGGAGGCGGGGGCTTGACTCACAGACTGGGAAGCTCTGAAAGCGTTGCCACATGGGCTCGAGATCTGTTAGGGCTGGAATCTGAGCTAAGTTTGTGACCTGAGAACTTTTTCGTTTTCATCGCTTCTTTAAGGCAGCAGTTTCCTCCTAGGCCGCCTGGCATTCAGATGGAAACCAAAGCCTTTGGTTAAAATCAGGAGGTGAACCTCACTTACCTGGAATTCTTTAGGTCAGGCAATGACGCGTTTAGTTCTAGGAATCTTCTCGTAATAAAGTTCTTTTAAACAATTTTTTTCGTGGGTTATAGTTTAGAAAGTCATGGTTTAGCATTGTTAATTAAATGTGTGAAAGATCTTCTCAGACATATTTTCAATATTTTTCACATTATAGAATTTAAACTTTCAATAATTCCCGTTTTTAAAAGAAATTCCTCAATGATAATCTCTATGTGAAATGGCGATATACAATATTTTATGGAGTATTCTAACTGTATTACTAAGTGAGATCACAAAAAACCTAATGTGCCAACGAGAAAATAAAATGTAGGATTATCTGAGTATTTGTTTCATGCAAATACTTAGATTTCTGTATCATGACCTCTTCCTTTGAGGGCCATGATACAGATATGAGTTCTTTTTTGAAGTGTGTAGGTAAGATCTGTTCTAGTAAAAATGGAGAAGATGACAGATTGAATTTGATGTCTCCATCACCTAGTGACTCTCTGTGTGGGTTCAGCAAAAAGTGCAAGACAGTGCTGGTTATGTAGGTTACATGCAGAGGTATATGAGATCAGCCTTAGATCTCTTGGAGCTGCTGATACAGAACCTGAGAAACATCAATAAGCAGCACTTCCCAAGTTTGAGCTTGGGAAAAGTTATTTTTACTTGACTAGTATATTCTATCAGTATCTGTTTTTATGAAGTTTCAGTTAAATAAAAACACTGGCCTACAAAGTACATCTTGACAGATTAAAAAACACTGATAGTACAGTCCCAAGTAAAAGGAAATTCTAAAAAAACAAAAAAACGAAAAACGAATGAATGAAAAGAAAAGAAACTTTGACCAAGAAATACTTTGACAGCAGAGCACAGTAACGATATAGGCAGTTGCCATGATGGGGTTATTAGGTTCCCTTCTGAATCCTGCTGGATAGAGGCAGTCTCTCCCTCTGATCTTGGGGACTTGATGGAGAGAAAACACTGGGTGAGACATCAGGTAGGTTTGCGATGTGAGGTTAGGACCATCTTAGTGACTAATGTTTGTGTGTACATCTCTTTTAGTATTAATGAAATTAGTTCACAAACAAGCTAATACAGTTCATTTCAATGAGATTTATGGGCTCTCCAGTTCAATATCTAGCAGTGCTGCCCTGAGAGGACCCCGTGGTCATCCATGAGATGAAACTCTTAACTTCACAGATGCTTCCCAGTGCCTCATTATAAAGAGTTTGTTTTAATTTCTGAAAAAGTGTTTTAAGATCATTGATGAAAGTGCATTCTGCAATTAAACAATAAAATAGGTATACATTTCTTAATGTTATTTGTGATAGAATATTTTGGTATTTATTTAGACTTGCCTTGGATCACACTGTGTTGTATGAAAGAAATTGCATGATTTTCACTTAATAGCATGATTTCAATAAATAATTATAGAGACAAAAAAAGTATTTAAATTTTTGTTTTAGTATATTGGTAATCTTTGTTTTCTTTTTCTTTTCTTTCTTTTTTTTTTTTTTTTTTTTTTGAGACGGAGTTTCGCTCTTGTTATCCAGGCTGGAGTGCAATGACGTGATCTCGGCTCACCGCAACCTCCGCCTCCTGGGTTCAGGCAATTCTCCCGCCTCAGCCTCCTGAGTAGCTGGGATTACAGGCACGCACCACCATGCCCAGCTAATTTTTTGTAGTTTTAGTAGAGACGGGGTTTCACCATGTTGACCAGGATGGTCTCTATCTCTTGACCTTGTGATCCACCCGCCTCGGCCTCCCAAAGTGCTGGGATTACAGGCGTGAGCCACCGCGCCCGGCGGTAATCTTTGTTTTCAAAAAGGACGAACAAACCCCTAAAAGACAATCATTTTGTGCTTGTAGCATATATTAAATAATACATAACCACTGGCATATTTGAATCCTAAATATAGTAAATATCCTTTTTCACCACTCCACTGTCTGTTCCCCAACTAAAAAAAGAGAAATGCTGTTATTGACTTGGGATGTGTTTGTGGCCGGCCTTTGAGGAGAGCCAGAATCTGTGGTAGAGGGAACTTCATTATAGTGGGTACTATTATTCTGTTTTCTGAGAAGGGCTGGCTCTTTACTATTCTGAAGGAGTGGATTTGCACCTGAGGAGATTCAGTGACATAACCCTGCTAAAAGAATGTGTCTGAGAAGAGGATAGTACAGTTATTAAATGCTTACTCCATTTTCTGTTGTTTATAACAGAATACTTGAATCTGGATAATTTGCAAAGAAAAGGAATTTATTTCTTACAGTTATGGAGTCTAAGTGCAGGGTTGAGGGGTTGCATCTGGGGAGGGCTTTCTTGCTGGTGGGGACTCTACAGACTTCTGAGGTGATGCAGGGCATCACATGGTGAGGGAGTTGTTCATGCTAGTTCAGGTTTTTCTTATAAAACTATCAGTCTCACTCCCATAGTTACCCATGAATCCATCTACCTATTAATCCATGAATAGATTAATAATTTTTGAGGGTAGAAGCCTCATGATCCAATCACCTCTAGGTCCTACCTTCCAATACTGCCACATCCACATCGGAGGTAGTTTCAACATGAGTTTTAGAGGTGACAGTTATCCAAACCATAGCAAATATGTTAAGATTTTCTCATCATTGGATTATGTTATCTTCCCCTATAGTGATCGGTAGAATAAAACTCTCTGGGGCACTACATTACCAGCAAATGTTTGGGTGACACAGCAAAATTCCTTATACCTCAAGTTGGTGCCCAACATGGCAATGAGGCAAGTTATATGTAAGCCCAGAATACTGAAAAGGAAAATTAATTTCCTATGAAATTCATATGGTGAATTAGAATGGGAAGTAGAGATTAAAATCCCAAACTCTCGAGGTGTACTGATCCATGCTACCATTTGGTAATAACAATAATTAAGAATGTATGTTTCACAAAGTCTTCTCGACTGTAATGCCCCATTCTAATGCTTTTAAAAATTGAACTGCTCGCCGGGTGCGGTGGCTCACGCCTGTAATCCCAGCACTTTGGGAGGCCGAGGCAGGTGGATCACGAGGTCAAGAGATCGAGACCATCCTGGTCAACATGGTGAAACCCCGTCTCTACTAAAACTACAAAAAATTAGCTGGGCATGGTGGCGCGTGCCTGTAATCCCAGGAGGCTGAGGCAGGAGAATTGCCTGAACCCAGGAGGCGGAGGTTGCGGTGAGCCGAGATCGCGCCATTGCACTCCAGCCTGGGTAACAAGAGCGAAACTCCGTCTCAAAAAAAAATTGAACTGCTCATTAAGTAGATAGTATTTTTAATTGAAATAATTGTTCTTCAAAGAAAAATCTTTCTTCCTAGTTACTCAGGAGGCGGAGATGGGAGGATCACTTGAGCCCAGGAGTTTGAGGCTGCAGTGAGCTATGGTCACACCACTGCACTCCAGCTTGGGCCACAGAGCAAGATCCTGTCTCAAAAAAAAAACAAAAAAAAAAAAAAAAAAAAAACAGTCTTTTTATGTGTATGGTAAACAAATGTATCACAAATTTCTATCATCTCACTTTAGTGTTTCACAACTTCTAGTTATGTATACAAGAATGGCTTGATTAGTTGATGGTAAAGTGTTGCAGAAAAGAATCAAACTAGAAAGAGAAATAGAAGATATTATGGATGAGATAAAGAGTGACCATTACTATTACCTTGCTTAGGAATTCATATGCATATAGATAATTGCAGTAAAGGAAAACCCCTGATCATACAGCTACACAAATACTTGCATTTTAAA